AATATAGATTGGATGCACATGAGACACCACAAGGAGCAGTCGAGGAGAAGCCGAGACAATGAACCCAGTCAAAACGAAAACAGTGCTTTGACTCAGTTATTTCCAAAACCTCGTGAAATAAAAAACACCTCTTTTTCTTTTTGCCTGCATCTAGCTGCACATAATCTGATGAGTTCTAAAGCAGAGCTACTTTGTGAGAGAGCGTTTCTTCTAGAGAGAGATCACTTTAGGTGCTTCAAACGACTTCACTCAACTACAAACTGAAGTCGAGGCCTGATTTCATAAGCTCAGGGGTGGATATCAGCAGGCTGATAGAGAGCAGCAGACATGATTTAACAGGAATGCAGTTGTCTTGGCACATGACAAGAACAAAAGCATTTAACCCTGACATGGTTTCAACAGTTTAGTAAAAGGCTCACCTTAACTATAAACCCGTTTTCCTATAGTTGGCCCACCACCATCCTCTCCAATAAAACTCAGCCTTTCCATCTAATCAATTAAATTTTTTTCCCTGTTTCAGTGTTTTTATTCTGTGCAGAACAAAACTGGACAGTTTAAGGGTTGTTCTCCTGTTGTTTGAAATGTGGTGCAGGTTAAAGCCTGTCTGTGTTTCCTGGGCGGTTAAGCTGTAACACAGCTCAATCTAGCTCTTTTTGCCTTTAGTTTCTCTAGTTTCTCTCTTTTTGCAACGAACATGTACAGAAATGTAAAATGTTTCATATACATATGTATACATCCGAGGCTAACCAGGTGTAGGAATTTGTTGATCTGTGTTCCCACAACCTTGCTTAAAGTGAACATGAGACCTTAAACACATACATGTGAATCTTGCCTCACAGGTATCAGTCAGTGTTTCCCCCCCTGTTTCATTTCAGATAAATTCCCTTATTTCAAGAGTCTCTCACCTAAACATGGTTATAACCGTACACTGAAGTCTGGTGACAGTAGAAGTGGAATCTACAGTCATGTTCATACATAAATGTGATTCGGTTTTAAGAGAATCGGGTCAGTAGGTTTTCCACGGTTATCCTTTCTCACAAGTAGTGCAAAGCAGGAAGTAGTCTGCTTCAAAAGTATTTGGAATAATGGAAATGCTCTGTATCCTCTGATAAGGCGAGGGAGCTACTTGGACAGAGCATGCAGAAGACAGGAAATGTCCACCCACTCTAATACCACTGAGACTTTATACTAGGGAACTAGCAGGTTACAGATTGGCCCGTGTCAAATGGGACCTCTGTGCCATTGAGGGGCAGAGAGAACAGCTCCTGATGCTCCACTCTGTGTCTAGTGTACTAACTTAAATATACGCTGGATTATAAATCCATTTTTAGTTGCAATTGAAGTATAAATGTAAACAAAAATTCTACTTGCTTGTGTTAACTTCACTGACACAGCATAAAAAGAACTTCATTTACATTTGTTTGTTACTGTGCATGAATGTTTAATTCCAACTGCATGTTTTTGGTCTTTTCCTCATACTGTGGTCTGTTTGCATTTCAACCACAGCAAGAAAATCCGCCTTAGGTACACTAAACATCTAATTAAGCAGCTTCATCCTGACCAAGCAGCAGCAGGAGCAGCACTGCTGTTTACAATTAATGGACCAACTGTGGTTTACTTGCCATTGGGT